GCTTATATGTCTTGTTCCTGAGAATTTCACAAACAGCCTGGATACCTTTCAGTATTGTGCTAAGCTTGTTGTTTATCAGACCTAATTCTTGCTCATTTCTATCCCAATTCAAGAGACTTACCACATGTAACTTGAGAACAAGCCTCCAGAGGGTTTCATTGTTACCGTTGTCTAGATGCAGAAATCATATTAGGAGAAAATGACTTGGCTCAATCCTATTTACAAGAGTTGGAGCCAGTCCAATATTAGGCCCAGAGAATGAAATATCATCATCCTGATTAAGTGCTTGAACTGATTTCTGTAATTTGCCACTAAATGTCACATATAATAAAGTTCAAGTTGTATAACAATTAATTGTTCAGTTAGGTGAAAATAAATATTCCATCTTCTTTCTTCAGGAAATACAAGTCAACAGTCTTCACTGTACCCAGTTATCTCTGCTAGTATGTCGTTGTCAGGACTTATTGATTTCCAAGAACCAAATCAAGATGGTCAGAAACCTGCTCCAGATACAGGGGGGACAAGGTTATCTGGCCATTCGTCCCCTACTTATTCAGGATCAATATTTTCAGTGAAAAACATTGACAAGACAACTCCAGCAGGCAATACCATCTCTGAACCATGCATTAGCTCATTGGAAAGCCAGTCCTTTCCTTCCAAACTTGCTGCAAATGAAAATAACAAGCAGGTGACTGAACAGCCTGAGCAGATGGCCATCTCTACTCTGGCCTCGACAGAATTCAAAATAAGCAAGAAGAAGAAAAAATTGAAGAAAAAGAAAGCACTCCGAGCGGCCCGTGTCCCTGAGAATAGTGATACAGAACAGGACGTGAGTGACTCAAAACCATTTAGGAAAGTAAAGGCTATCAAGATACCCAAGGGAGAAAAAGTAACAACATCCACCCCTCCGAAGCAAGAAGATGATGAGGCTGCTCAGGAAAGAAAGAGGAAGAATGAGGAGAATGAGAGTGACACATCTGTTGAATTTGTGGAAATCCCTAAATCTCCTCTTGAAGTGGTGGCCATCAACTCATCAGAATCGGAAAGTGAGAAACCAGACAGCCCTTCTAAGAGGGATACCTTGAGCTCCACAGAGAAACTTTTGAGAGAGCCATCTCGGTCTGGCTATGATGAAGTGAGTTCTACTAGTGAGATTGGAGTAAACTATAAAGATGGCATTGGTAGAAGGTGAGTTGGCAAACTGTATGTACACTGATTGCATATCTGCACTATGACGGTTTTTAATCTGGTTATGATATTAGAATTTATGGACTCTTAGTGGCAATAAATTTGGTATTCTTAATATTTGTAGACGTAGGAATCCTTTAGTTGAGAAATGATTTAGAAAACAATGATATGTAAATTTGACATATTGAACCATATTCAGCAAATCATTTATGACAAATAAAAATCTATTTCATATAAAGTTTTGTGATCGTTGAGAAAAGTTTCTTTGTAGTTTCTGTAGAAAGGCTGGTTCCTTTTTCTTAGAAATATTTTTCCAAGAATATCCTAATGTAGTATTGTGTTTTGCCATTATATGCTTTTGTATGAATTTTTTAAATTGCCAATGGCATTCTCTTTCTTCTGTAGCGTGGCTGAGACTCAAACATCCATATCGTCATTAAGAGGATCAAAAAACTCATCAGGTAGATCTGTTTGTATATTTGTTTTCTTAATGGTGGAATAAGTTTAAGATCCTTTGGAGGATAGAGGAAGCTGGAGTTTCTTGGAATTTTTCTGAAAATGTAACTTGAGATTTCTTGTATTTCTTGCTTGTCTTTTGATCTGTTGATGAAAGTTAGATTATCTTTCTTCTAGCCAGTAAATTACTTATTATTTCTTAATGTATTGCTTTTATCTACTCTGTATGTAGAAGGAACTCAAAGGTTACTTTGAGATAAATTTTGGCTTAAGGACTTTGATAATTTGAAACCAACCACTAATTTGAGATGCGCTTCAGGTAAACTTTTGATGAGCTTTAAGGTAATCATCATCTTGAATAGATGGCAATTAAAATATTGTTCAAAGCTAACCATTTTGGTGCTACACTTATTCGTAGCATATATTTAAATATAACTGGAGAATGTTAATTTTCTTATTTTGGTGATGCAGTAAACTTCCTTCTTCCCTCATTCTTAATATACTTACCGTACTCCTGTTGTGACGGTGAGCTCTTTCTGTCTGGTTACAGACTATGCCTGTAAATGTTGGTAGCTCATTTCATACTGTAGTTTTTTCTTGATAAAGTTGCAGTTTGGTTCCTTTTTTCAACTCCTTCAATTAACAGGGTCAAAACACACTTGATTCTTTGCTCAGTTGAAGGGTTAGCATAGGGCAGATGGGAAGACTGGAGGGTGGATCAGGAAGGATTATTAGGAGTTGGGAGAAACAGTGTGGAGGGCTAGTAGCCTTTGGGCAGGCTGGAGGGTGGGTGTGGATAGCACTTGGCTACAGTGGGTGATGGGTGCAAGGAAGAAGAAATGGTTGTATGGGAAGACAAAGGGGAGTCATTATCCACACCCAGCATGATAGAGGGCCAAGTGCAGTCTTATGAGCAGGATGTTTAATTGCACGCTTTGATTTGTATTTGCCAGAAGTGTCTTCAGAGCCCGGTGAAGATGAGGATCCCACAGAAGGGGTATTTGAGGGACATTCAGCTTCAGTGAACGCCATTCAGATTTTTGGGAATTTGTTGTACACCTGTTCAGCAGACAAAACTGTCCGTGCATATAACTTAGTGGTAAGTAGACCTGCTAGAGAACTTGCAGTTGGGTTGTGACCTCTTTGCCCCAAAAAAAGTCTTGGGGCTGTTAAATGATTGAGAATTAGCAAAGGTGAAAAAGTAAGGCCCTCAAGATTTTTTTGGCTACACCTTTTAACGGCCTTGGGATAAAGGCACCTATTCAGATGAAACTGGAACCTATTCAGTTTTGTGGGTGAGAGATGAAGGAAACTTTAAAATGTTATTAAAACTCTATTTTAGCAATGAATACTTGGGAGCTTTTAATCAAATCTAGTAAACCCCATACCATGTTTAACTTCTTCCTTAGGATAGGAAATCAGTGATGAATATACATTGCTTAATGACTGTTTGTTTAACAACAGTTCAAAGTTACAACAGCGTTGGAAAAAGTTCTTTATGACCTGTACTTGCACTTACGAGTGTTGCAAACTGTTGCATCACCCCCACGGTCACTTGATTATGATTTGTGACCTTTTTTACAACAGTCATTAAGCGAATCAACACCGTCATTAAGTGAATCACGTGGTTAAGCAAATTCTGGCAAAAAAATCCATTGGGACAGCTGGATTTGTTTAACGACCACATGATTCACTTAACAACTGTCATAAAAAAGGTTGTAAAATTGGGTCCAGTCATGTGGTGACTCACTTAATGACCACCCTGCTTAACAGCCAATTTTCTGGTCCTTATTATGGTCGTTAAGTGAGGATTACTGGTACAAAATAATTCAAAATAATAAGAGATGTGACCTCTTGTTCCTAGGTTTATGTAGAACTTATACATGCTGTTTCATGAAAAAGTGGTGTTAAGAGTTTGCTTGTAGAGTTTAAGTTCATGTAAAGTTGCAACTCTTGAAATAATTTTTTGATGATAGGAATGGTGGAGCTTGGTGGAGCTTGCTAGGAGAGAATGTTGAATTTAGACAGGTAGCTTAGGGCTGTATAGTTGTGTATGCACATTAAATTTCTTGTGCCCCTTGGAGCTGCCTCTGATTACAATTGCCAAGAATTGGTGACATGCTTCTCACTTTGGAGGTGGGAAATACACAGAAGGTCAAGTGCAAGCCCCAAAATAATCTTATTAAAACTAGAAACAAACAAAAAACTCCACCCAGAAGCCCTCCCATTTTGCAACATGGTCCCATGCATGATCCTTGACTTCTTTCAAAAAGGGTGATCTCTACTTCTTAAAAGTTGCCCATCCCAATTTAAGTAAAATCTTACGACGTTTCACTCTTCTTTTTGTAGAACAGGAAATGTGTGGGTGTCTTTGAAGGACACATTTCCAAAGTCAACTGCCTCCTGGTAACTCAGACAACAGGGAAAAATGCAGCACTCTATTCTGGCTCCAGTGATCACAATATAAATTGCTATAACATCAAGGTAAGTGTGGAGATAATGTTGATATAACAAATGAACCAGAAGGAAAATACATTTCTTTTTGTAATATGACTGTTATTTTGAATTATACATTGGTTCATTTTTCCCCCCTGTGCCAATGGATCATGAACTTACAGCATTAAGATGGATTGGCTCAGGTACAGGATCCCAGATATTTCAGTCTGATATTTCTTCAGCTCTGTGCATCTAAAGCATTCTCTAAGCATCTAAAAATGTGAGGGTGGCATACAAAAAATAAAAATACTTTTATTTATGCAGTATATCTATAAAATGATAATGCTTGGATTACAACTTAAACAATTGTTTAAGCCAATTTATTTTTATTGTTTTATTGTTTGTATGCATTTTTTAGTTACAGATTAATAACATTCTTAGGAGTGATTTATTTACAGAAGTCAAGGCAATACTGTGTATGCATTACTTCTACATGTGTATGTATTATTATACTAAGAGCATGAAACCATCCAGAAGACTTGAAAGATGCACAGAGTTAAATATATATTTAGAATTCAGTTTTTCATTCTTCCAGTGGTTTTCAAGGGCAGACTTATACCTAGCACAACAGTTTGTTGCTGTATTATAAAGGTAAAAGTTTCATTGTATTTATGTAACAGTCTAGGTTTCCCAAAGTAGAAATGAGTTTCCTAAATAATATGCTTTCAAAGCTAGTTTTCAAACCGCTTCTTAAGGCTGCCAGCCTATACAAAATTATGAGTTTAGTCAATCCTGCTTTTTTCTTAATAGACAAGAGAACTTATTGATCAGTTTAAACTGGATGACCGTGTGCTTTGCCTGCACAGTAGATGGAGGATCCTCTATGCTGGCCTTGCAAATGGAAATGTGGTCACTTTCAATATAAAGGTCAGTATGAGAGATGTAGGCATTGCTCATTCTCAAGAAGAAAAGCTGCTTTATTGCGTGATAACTGGAAAGGATAAATAGTGTTTGAAGTTCAGTGTGCTTCCAACTTCTGTAGTTAACGAAACAAGGAGAAGATCTACCTGGGCATAGTCAGTGGTTAGTTGATGCATAAGCATAATCAGGCATAAAGACTGAAAGTTGCCTGGGAAAGTAGTGACTGTGAAAGGAGCCCATGCACAGTTTTCTGTTTCTCTGAATTATTTTTCTTTTCAAAATTTAAATAGTGTAAATATTTGATTTGGAGCAGAGTATATATTAAACAGATTCACTCCATAAAAAGCACTGTAAACAACACTGTTTCTTAGCTGAAAAACACTTTTTAAAAAGTCCAGCTATGTGGGGATCTGGAATTTGTGGGAAGGCATTCAGATAGTTAGAAGGAGGGATTTAATGCTGTTAGATCTGGAGGCAAATATTGTGTTCATAACTTGTGGTTGGGTTGTATTTTCTTTTTCCCCAGAACAACCGACAATACGATACTTTTGAGTGTCATGGTCCTCGGGCAATTAGCTGTCTTGCTACAGCCCAGGAAGGGGCACGACGACTACTGATTGTGGGATCCTATGATTGTACAATTAGTGTGCGAGATGCCCGAAATGGACTGCTGCTCCGAACCCTGGAAGGTCATAGCAAAACAGTACTGTGTATGAAGGCAAGTACCTTCAAAAAAGACCCTTTATTGAAATATTGCCATTTCCTGAAACAAATCAGAACTTGTAAATGAAACTCCATCCTTTTCTGTTGATGTTATTTTATCAATTCTGAGTAGGAGTAGGATGATAGAAAGTTGCTTTATACATAATCAGAGTTTTGGTTCATCCACCTCAATATTGTTTCAGAGGCTTCTTAGCTCACATAAAAAATGCTGAGAATTGCCTTCTGTAATATATTTTTATCTTTCCCTAAATATTTTTACTAATTGAGCTTTTCCAGAGAAAAACACAGATTTCCACTCATTTCTTCTTCCTCTGTTGAGATCCTTCAAGGGTCTGTTCTCATCCACCTGTTTTTCTTTTGCAGCACAATCATCCACTGTGATTTTCATAAATCCCATTGCTTTCAATATCGCTTTTGCTGATTACACCAATGCTTTGTCTCTATGTAGCTTCTTCAGTTGCCCATTGAATACTTTCTCCTTGGTTATGCCATTACCATCTTATTCAGCCAATTACAAACTTCTCATATTTCTTTCAGAGTCTTCCTTGTATTATATGTTTTAGATCATTGAGTCCAACCCTCTTCTCTAACCTTAATACCCACACACCCAGAAATATCTATCCAGTAAACACATCCAGTAAAGGGAGCTCATAATCTTCCTAGGTAATTTGTTCACCCAATCTTTCTTCATATGACTTAGTTTTCAGTCCCTTACCATCCTCCTTATTTTTTCATTGTATCTGAGTTCTTAGTATATGGCACAGAATTGGGCACAATACTTGAGGTGGGGTTTGACCAGTGTAGACTGGAATGGAACTATTACTTCTGTGATTTGGAAATTATAGTACTGTGCAAAAGTTGTGAAAAAATGCTGTAAAATAAGAATGCTTTCAAAAACATATATTGTAATCATTTACGTTTATCAATTTACAAAATGCAT